TTCTTTTCTCTTGTTTTCTAGTCTCTTCCATTCTCTTCTTTTTTCTTCACTTATCTTCTCTCCTATCTCCTCTTCACTTGCTTTTTTCTCTTCATTTCTCTTCTTTTCTAGTCTTTTTCATTCTCTTCTCTTTTATTCTCTTATCTTTTCTCCTATCTCCTCTTCTTTTAGCCTTTTTCTATTCATTGCTCTTTTTTCTATTCTCTTCCATTATCTTCTCCTTTCTTCTCTGCTCTTATTCCCTCTCCATTTGATCATTTTGCATAATCTATTTTTTTTATCTTGTCCATTTGCCTGTTAGTTACACGAGCACACACAGCGCTGGAGGCACGCGTCATGTTAGACGTCGTAAAAAGAATGCAGATGGTACCTATGATGACAGTGAATCCTACCACAGCGGTAGCGACGAGGCGGGCCAGGCTAGACGTAGAAGACGACGTCGGGAGAGAAAGCACGGTGCAGACAGTGACCATTCCTATCACAGGCAAACTTTCACATTTTGCTTAATTATGCGACTCTTTCTTACGATTATTACAATTCTTTCAGAACTCTGCATAAGGCTCTCAATAACTCTAGCTTCTGTTGATCATTGTCTGTCTCCAGATGGCAGTTTGACTGCTCAAAGTGCACATGATGTAGCAAACTACTGCGACTTGGCTGACCAGTTCGAAAGAAAAGCTGGTTGCAGAAAATTTGTAGAATGGTCTCACTGGAAACCAAAGGTGGATTGGCTGGTGTGCAGTGAAGACTGCTTGTTTGTATGAAAAAGTCCTTGGCTCACTGTTCTGCGACGTCGATTTACCTTTTCTTTTGATTTATTATATTTTAACTCTATTTTTTTAAAGATGGACTTTTTCTCTGTCTATGTCTATCATGGGGATACAGAAGAAGGCTTAGCACAGGTTCGTCAGAGGGTCGCAAGGCGCTGGGCCGACAACTTGTTCACACAATCCAACAGACTTCACTCCCCGTCAATCAATGTTGCTTAGGTTTTGGGTTGGACCATTTCACTAATTCCTTTCTGCGATACCTTTTTTTGCAACGTCATGTCACAAAAATTCACTGTGGGATTTTTTGAAGTCCAGTTTTTCTTCATAAAAAAACTAACATTTGGCTATATTAGATGTATCTTTAGGCTCCTAGACAACTAGTTAACATTTTTTTAAGTATGCTTGCGATACTACCAGTAGATCATATATATGAAATGCACTCATCGTATTTCGTTTAAGATGATTAGGGGAATAGTAATTGGATTGTTCACACAATGATATGAGTAGATATGGCATGGTCCCGGCTAGAATGGACCACAGTTTTGACCTCGC